TTCAGGAAGTAAAATAGTGAGTCGTAGTTGGACGTTTGGTTCGCTTATTTTAGGTCTCTTATAGAAACGTTGGAAAACATGTCCACTGGATTTTATTCACCATTGCTCTTGTTTTGTAATTTGTCCTACTTTGATCAGTTTGCTCAAGGTCTTATTAATGTGGGAGAGTCTAACTTTTGAATGGGATTTGTCTCTAATGGTTGATATACATTTGGTCCATGAATAAGTCTTTCGCCTTTTTGATGTAGTCGTCTTTATTCATGACTACTGTGATGTGCCGTTTGTCAACTGGAATTATAACGACGTTCTTTTTATTCTTCAGTTTCTAAAGAGCTCTCTGTTCTTAAATGGCTGGTTGAATGAGGTTTTCATTCCACCTGGTCAGAGGTACGATTACTTGTTGAATGACAATTAGCCATTAAGACGACTTTGTAAGCAGTTAAACTCTGATTATCATTTTGTAGTCGACCGATCATTGTTGTTCAAATAAAAGAAAGTTTGCCTAGTCTCACTGTTTCTATGTGCATTTACACGCTTAGCTGCTCCTGGTCATTTAGCTATACCTGGTGTACTAATAGCCTGCTTAATATACGTTTCACTCAGCATCTATCTCTGCAGTTTCAAAAAAGGGAAGATCAAACCTATAATAATGCCATAAAGCTACTGAAATGAAGGAAAGCAGCAGGACCAAATGGGATCCCGACAGAAGCACTGAAAACAGACGCACAGACAACACCGGACGTGCTCACGCCACTGTTGCAGAAGGTCTGGAAGGAAGAGAAGGTGCCTGGCTAGTGATTGGAAGAAGGGTTACCTTGTCAAACTCCCGAAGAACGGAGACCTCAATGTTTGCAAGAACTAACGCAGAATCACGCTCCTGTTCACCCCAAGCTAAATATTAAGCCGCATCATCCTGCACAGACTAAAGGATGCGCTAGATTCAAAACTACGACCAGAACAGGAAGACTTCAGGAAGTAAAAATCATGTGACGACCAAATCGCAACACTTCATTGAGCATCATCATTGAACAGAGCACAGAATGATAGTCAACTCCATACCTCAACTTCATCGACTTTGAGAAGGACTTCGACAGCGTCGACCGACAGGTAATTTGGAAACTGCTTCAACACTACGGAATACCACAAAACTTTATCAGCCTCATTCAACAACTATATGAAGACGCCACATACCAGCCAAGTAATTCATAATGGGAAGCTCAGTGATGCTTTTGAAGTGAAGACAGGAGTGAAACAAGGTTGCCTACTATCACCCATGATATTCCTGACAGTGTTCGACTGGATCATGCAGCAAACAGTGGGAGCGAGAAGAGGGGAATACGCTGGCTGGACTGCTGAAAACAACCTAGAAGATTTGCATTTCTCCAACGATGACTTGTGTCTGATGTCACACAAACTTGAAGATCTAGAGGGGGAAAACTAACAAGTTGACAGAAGAGGCGAGACAGCGAAGATGGGACTTCAAGTGAAGTGAGTGTAGAGAAGACAGAGGTGATGAAGATACCCAACCAACAACAACAACAACAAGAGGTACCAATCACCATGAACGGGAGAAACTTGAAGGAAGTAACCTCCTTCACCTATCGAGGCAAGGCAGCACTGTTCCAACTGCAGGTGGCACAGATGAGGATGTCAAAGCCAGCCAGGATCGGAAAGACAGCAAGACAGGTGTTCATTAACCTGAAACCAATGTGGAGATCTTCTGTACTCCACTCAGCATAAAGCCTGAACAACATCCGGATTTCCAACACAAACGTGAAGTCAGTGCTTCTATGTGGTGGTTCAGAGACTTGGCGCGTCACGAAAGACATTTCCAACAAACTACAGATATTCGTCAACAATTGCCTACACTGTCTCGTTACTGAACATCAGATGGCCAGAATAATGAGAATAAGCAACAAGGAACTCTGGTCGGGCAACGAACCAACGAAGCAAGAACCTATCACCGAACAAATATGGAGAAGAAAGTGGAGATGGATTGGGTTGGGCATACACTGAGAAGGCCGACTGGGGACATCACGCATCAGGCCGGTCGTCGAGTGGAACTGAGATGGGAAACGACGAGTTGGGCGTCCCGGATGAGGGTGAGATGGAGGAGATCGTGCGAGGAGGAAATGAGAGCTTGTGGGCTTTCGTGGAGCTAAGTTCAAAAGATTTCAGAGAAGAGAGTTCACTAGAGACGTGCTAGTGAAGCCCTATGTTCCATTAGGAACCCAAGGGACAAATAATAATATAATAATAAACCTATAATAAGCGCGATCTTGTCCAAGTTGTTTTGGAGTGATAACTCAATTAATGCATTCAAGGCTATCCACTTATTGCATACTTCCAAAGCCTCTGAATCATTTTTACACTCGTCGATTATGCATAGCGGAAGATATTGAAATTCTTAACCTTTGGTTATCCGAGTGATGGTTTTTTTTGTCCCCATCATCACTTGCGTTATGATTGCTTTCATCAACCCTGTTACTATGATAGCTAAGTTTACTATTTCATACGCTACTCATCATAAGAAAATCTCTATGATTAGTTTCAACTATACTGAGGATATGATTTAGAGGTTCGTGGGAAGCTGGTCAATTCAACAGAGGTCTTCATCAAAGGTGGACATCAGTTGCGTAACGTCAAACTCTCTAAAAATGTCATTGGACGATGACTGTGGCATCCTACAAGTCTACAGAACTGTACAAACGTGAGCCATCTGATACCAACCTAGTGGGTATATGGTAATTCATTCTCCGTAAGACGTGATGGTCTTGGGTTCAATTTTTCATAGGGTAGTGAAAACCTCAGAACTAAGATGATTCACATTTCTAGTGCTCCCAGTTTCTTGATGTTTACCCGGTTGATTTCAATTCTTGATGAAAATTTCTTTGGAGTATTCATGATTTTCCTTCGTACAGTAAACCGTGTGGAGGTTCAAAATCATCTAGGAATTCTGCAACTGCTGGTCTTAGCCATTTTACGAAGTGTAGTCATCTGGCTGGATTAGTCATCAAGGCAATGATAAAGCTGGTAATTGGTCACAGTGATGCAAATGTCCACTTTAAGTCCTGGTGCTTTTGCTAAATTTCATCTATTTATTCCATTTCTTGACTTAGAAGTTTTAAAAAAGTAGGTAATTGATAAGTTAAGGATGCTGTATATTGTCCATTTTATACCCTTCTACTCACTGTGACATTGAAAAACCTGAGTATATTTCAAATGTTTCGTAATCATTGAGTACCCAAAATAAATTCATGTTGTCCACCTTGTTGTGTATGCCAAAAAGTTGAATGACGATAAAACTATGCATTCTCTTCTCTGGTTCTTTTACAGTTTACTTTACCATAGTGAGCGTTTCCATCTATTGTGTTGTTCTCTAGTTTACTATGTTCAAATGCTTTAGGTATGTTATAACTGACTTGTTTGTGGCTAGCGGTGAAATTCAGGGCGAGTTTTGCATCCTATTTGGGACTTGATATCTAGATGTACTTGCACCCCAGTGAGTGATATTTTTCTCACTGGGACTTGATCTCCATATCCATCGCTTCAAACACCAAAAATATTATCCTCTAGTTACGTGTTTATATTTATGTACTCACAGTAGTTCACACTCATATAGGTGAATAGAGAATTAACACAGATCATGGTTGAAGAAATTTAAAGCGGACTTGATTTGAGGTTGAATCTCAGCCGAAAGCCATTAAGATTTGAAGATGACGTGTTCTTCTAACTGAGAAATTCTTTCCAAAGCTGCAAAGTAAATTTCTTACTGCATTTCTCATGCTCAATGTTGTAACCGAAAGTTAAATGTTGACGATAAACCCACATATTATTTGAATCTTTTCAAACTAACCAGTCATTAAAATTTTATTGTCTCTATAGTTGTTAACTAGAAGACAGATAAAGCAAAAACTAGTAAAAATATTTATTGATTAGTCCCGGGAGTGCAACCAATTTCACTTTGTCTAGTCTTGAGTACAGACTGAATACCACCGACCATATTTGTAATGTGACCACCAAGCTAGGAGGCTCAGCATCGTGGTGCAGATTAGTAGATGTTAGTTAGTTGAAGGCAATCGCAGGAAACCCTGGACCTAGGTTTCGTGCTTTCTGGCACTCGTCAGCAAGGCGTTTCTGCAGCCATGACGGAACTGATGTCCCGCCTGAGATTCGGACCCGCGTCACCCAGTGTTGTGGTCAGCAACCTTACCACTGAGCTATTCGGGTCGCGATTGACCTCCTGTAGGACTGGCTTACATGTATTGATTGGTCACGGGGTTGCCTCCAACTAACTACCATCTACTAATGTGTACCACGATGCGGAGCTTCCTAGCTTGGTTGCCACATTGCAAATATGATGATGGATAGAAATCGGTCTGCACTTAGGACTAGACAACATGAAATTGGTTACACTCCCGTGACCAATCATTACACGTAAACCAGTCCTACAGGAGGTCAGCCGCGGCGCAAATAGCTCAGTGGTAAGGTTGTTGATTATAACACTGGGTGACGCGGGTCCTAATCTCAGGCGGGACATCAGTTCTGTCATGGCTGCAAAAACGCCTTGCTGACGAGTGCCAGAAAGCACGAAACCTAAGTCCAGGGTTTCCCGCAATTGCCTTCAACCAACTAACTAGTAAGAATAGTCTATTTTCGCAAACTCGATTAATATGAATGTGATGAAGTTCATGATGTTTGTCCAGCTGTGTATATTAAAAAAGCATTCATCATGGATGGATATGTCAACCAGGTGATGAATACATGGAAGCATTGGAAAACTGTTTCGTCCTACTTTGGATTTTCACAGTAGTACACCATCTTAGAGACTACGGCATATCTTTCTGGTTTCAAATTATCTTCTGGTTAATATCTCTTTGTGATGAATGACTTATAATCGCTGAACTCCTCACAAACCTATGAATCGAATCTATGTTCATTTTTATTGTCCCTACCATATTCTCATTATTTTTATTTTAACAAAATTCTTTTATTATCAGGCAATTGGACAAGAAGCTGATATGCCACAGATTGTAGATCGTTTAACTGCAGAAGTTCGTACATTACAAATACGATTACGTGAAAAAACTACACAGTCGAGTACAGATCAAAGAAAAATCAGTGAATTGTATCATCGTATTTATATATTGGAAAAAATGTATGATGAAAGACAAAGTCAATCTCAGTACTGTGATGATGGATCATCAGTATCACGTAAACGAAGTAATAAAACTGGTGACTTATCAAATGAATTAGAAGAAGAGAAGAAAAAGAATTTGGTAATCTCTTTATTTGAGCATAAATTTAACCTTTATGAGAAGAATTTCAACAGATTCATGTAATTTGATTTAAAAAAATCCTAAATGGTTCAGGTGAACGGCTTTTTAAGTAATAGGATTGACGATTTAAGTAGTATGAAAAACTTGGGTCTCTTGAAAGAGAAATGAACTCTGTAACTTGATGGTTCGAATCCCATGGTATCTTAGGTTTCCTTTTCAGCTTTAAACATCAACTAAATCGTATAAATCTTCACTTTTTTTATGTCTATCATTTAAATGTAAGAGCTATGAGCTATTCTGATCTGTTGCAAAGAGACAGTAGTACAGAATAGTTTCGTAATCAACCTAGTGGTAGAATATTCTGCTAGTCATTTGAAAAGTCATGATTTCAGTTTATCTGTCAGATCACTTTCATATTCACTGGTTATATCTGCATAAATTTATGACTAAACGAGTTTTCTAACTTAGGATTATTGATAAGATTGGATGATTTACATCAATAGTTTGAACCTCTCTTTTTTTATACTGGTCGTTTACTTAACCTATGAATGGATCCAGAGTAGTTCTTAGCATTATGGTCCTCTTTTAGGGATATGAGATAAATAGAAAGGGATATAGAGAATAAAAAAACAACCAGATGAAACAACAGAAACTGGTGGAGAATTAGATTCATTGAAATATGTAATTCTTGGTTATTAGAATAAATGTGTCAATATTTAGTGTTTGGTTTGTAGTTCTAACGAAGTTGTTTAGCTGAAGATTCATGGTCAAGCATCCATGACATTCAAGGTTCTAGCGTGTTGCGTTGAGTTACTTACTCACTATCCTGTAGTTAGTTAGCCCACACATCTCACTTTTTTGATATGTTCTCACAAATATGTGATCCCTGTCTAGTAACTAAATTATGTTCGTCCTTGATCTTGCACCCATAGACCTCTAAGGAGTACAACCTTGTGGTTATACTCTGTGCCTGTCATAATTTCTAAAATATCACTGTTTAAGAAATGAAACATTACTTCCTTGATCACTGTAATCAGTATTAAGTACCAATGGTTGATAAGTAATGCCAAAATATTTCGTACTAATAAGGATTTTTAATACTAGACAATGACCGAAAGTGAAATAAAAATGTGCGCAGCAGAAACAGCCTCTGGGTTACCGGCACGATGCTCTACCAGTTGAGCTATGAGACGCAGCTGGTTAAGCCATCTTTGGTCACCAAGAGTTTCGCTTGCCAACCATATTAGTTCGTGGTGTGCTACTGTCCTGGTTGGGCAACCAGCATGAATATGATGGACGAAGCTGACTTCGTCGACCGGTGCCAAGTTTTGGTCTGGTCTGGTCACCTTGAACTCTCTTCCAACCTAATCTAACATCGGTTAGCATGGTACGTCCGGGTAGGCGGTGACCCGGCATGGGCGATACATGTCTAAGGTTTACAACCCCACCAGTAGATATGCCTTTCTTGCCGAGTATCCTTCGCCTAACTTCAGCATTGCTCACATGGTGAGTTCACCAAACGCGAGCAATGCTACGAAAACACCAGCGATCCAAATACAGTACCCGCTTCATGTCTTCTACTTTTAACGCGCATGTCTTACGGCCGTACAACCACACAAAATGGACTGTACCGTAGCCTACTCATCCTTTGTTAGATAGTCGGATACCTTTCCAGTAGGTGTCGGCTAATGCAGCTCCTCGAGTAAGTGAAGTGGTTGACAAATTTCACCACTTCAATCCCGATCATTAAAATAAGAGTAGTTGCAGACGAATCTTGCATTTAACAAGTGCGAAACGTATGCCAGTCAATCATACTCAGATTTCTGCTCAACGTATTCATAAAACATTGCATTTTGTCAGCGTCTTCACTTAGCAGGCCATTATCATCTGCGTACTGCAAGCCAACCAGATCAGTCCCTGTGAAGTCAAACGTACCTAAGGCTATGATCATTAATGCTTCTATAAAGAAGTCAAATAGGAGCAGTAACAGTAGACATCCATGGTGGACACCATTAGTTATTGTCTTTACTAGGGGTCGAACCCAAGACTGATTGTCTCCAGCACCCCAGAGTTATCCACTAGGCCTTTGAGTCACGATAACTACTCCTTCTGTAACGGACATAGTATGGTTTTGATGTTATAACTTGTAAATCTACATCGTTAATTGGACCGAATACGTCTATATTCTGTAGGCATGGATGAATTAAACTGATTGGTCACTCAAGAGAAACCAATATCATGAACTGATAAATGCACATGGGAGTGCCAAAATCAGACAGTTTGTCTTTATTCCTAGCACCTAGCTTCTATATAGTTATATTGGGCGTACACTGAGGCAGTTCCATCGTCGAATTTCTGAGCACCACCCATTATGTTTGAGCAAGAGACAAATTAGGATAATAAAGAGCTCCACATTTGCACACCTATCTGACACAGGATATCAATTCGATACTAACAAAGCTTTCAAAACCAATCATCATATTCCAATTAATTTACCATATAGATAACTCACTCGCTTACCTCACATAGCAGAGGCGATTGCAATCCATCTTTACAAACCTAACCTTTGTATCCAAAACAAGTTTATTCGACCACTTTCATTACCGTGGCCGTCAACATGATGTAACTTCCAGGATTACTTTGTACACCGCTTTCCCTCTTATCTCTATCAGTGTCCATTTGTTTTCTTATCATCACGTAATCACTTGTTGTGAATGACTGGACACTCATCAAAAATCACTCCACTTACCTAAGAATAATCTGCTTCATATTTTCAATTTTAATAACTCTACTGATTATTTATATCATTATTTCTAAAACATCATCTTCATGACTTACTTAAAATGTATGATTATTGTTCACCAACCCCCGACCACGTGATCGGTAATTCAATTGAATTGTAAAACTATATAATTATTAGTGTAGAGTCGAAGACGAAGACGTAATTGAAAAGGAACATATTTCATAGCTTGCTCAATCAGTCTTTTTTCTGAATGTCTAAATAGGAATATTGAATGTATTAAATTCAAAATGTTATAACTATATCATTCATATCGTGATTAACTTCCTGTACAATGTGAGATATACCTATTTATCGATTAAGGTACTCAACTTCCTTTGATTTAGTTTAAAGTATCAGCTGAATTCATTTCTGTCAGTATCTTTTAACAATACCGCATCAATTAAAGTACATGATGGTTGTCAGTCTACTTCCTCAGTGATAATAATACAAACTTGTTCGATAGAATTAAGTCAATAGTCAAATTACTCTAAGACAAAAGATCTCATTTATTTAAGTTTCTTTCTACTCTAGTTGTCTTTCTACTTTCATGCATTACAGATTGAAGGCAACTTGAGTGAGTGATATTTACTGAGAGTGATTTGATACTGTTCTATTCATCAACCTGCCTACCTATCAGTCATAATCCTACTGTAGTATATATTGGTTTTAGATATTACAGATGTTATTGTAGTCTAGTAAGGTATTTTTTTTCCTTAAGAAAAAAAAAACTTTTCTAAAAATACACTTTTCAGAAATTAAAGCATGAATTAGCTGTACTAACAAAAAATTATAAGCAACAAATAAATATCACAGATGAAAAACTTCGATGTCTACGTCAAAGATGCCAAAATTTAGAAAATAGTCTCCAACAGAAAACTCAACAACTTCAGGTAAGGTGTCATTATTAGTGATTTGTATGATAATTATTAATTTAATTATATTTCAACAATTCTTCTTTCCTTTATTCAGTTGAGTATTAATCTTGTGATTTGATACAAATAAAAATTCAACTTGAATTCTGGGTTCAAGAAATGATTGGTAATTGTTTGATGTTCTCTCCTTGCTTGAGGATTTCTACACTAGGCTTGGCTACTTCATAGAGAAGTTAATATTGATAAAACAAAAAAAGAAAAAGCTTCAAAGCTTAGAGAATATCAAATAGTTATCATCTTATCCTGAGCTATAAATCTTCTGAACTATTACAAAAATGAGTTTTAATTTTAACGGAAAATGGCATGTCATCAATTATATGAATTCATAGAGAATTAAACTGATGTTTAGAGAATTAGGTGGCATGCTTGTAACATATATTTTATCACTTATTGACTAGGACTTTGGTTTATGAGTGTTCAACAACCCAACTAAGTTGACGACTTTGCCTCTCTGAAAATTTTTAGTCGTCTTCCCTTGCACGCTTCCATCTTCATCGTCTTCACTTTTAGTTTCATGTTTTTTTTTGAGGTCAAGTTTCGTGTCACTTGCGAGTTTCAGCTTGTGAAACATTTTCATATCAGCAACATGATGAACTGTTCCGATATCTGACTCACTGTCATCACTACCAGTGGGAACTGGTTGTCTAGATGCAGGTTTCAATTGGATCGTTTAACTATTCATGAAACGTTTATTCTTTGATTCTGGTGTAAAATCAGGTTGTGGGGACTTGACTGCAGAATTATTAAGTGATTGCTTTGAACGACCCATGTATCACGTCTATTTATCAAACTGTAGTCAATTATTATTATTATTATTGTCCCTTGGGTTCCTAATGGAACATAGGTCTTCAGTAGCACCTCTCCAGTGAACTCTCTTCCCTGAAATCTTTTCAACCTGGCTCCACGAAAGCTCAGAAACTCTCATTTCCTCCTTGCACGATGTCCTCCATGTCACCGTCAACTGGGTCGTCCAACCCATCGGGGTCCCACTTGACGGTCTGGCCTGACGCGTGATGTCCCCAGTCGGCCTTCTCAGTGCATGCCCAACCCAATCCATCTCCACTTCCTTCTGCATATTTGTTGAGCGATAGCTTCTTGGTTGGTTCGTTTCCAGAGTTCCTTGCTGTTCATTCTCATTATTCTGGCCATCTGAGCTTCAGTAACGAGACAGTGTAGGCAGTTGTTGATGAATATCTGCAGTTTGTTGGAAATGTCTTTCGTAACGCGCCAAGTCTCTGAACCACCACATAGAAGCACTGACTGACTTGACGTTGGTGTTGGTGTTGAAAATCCGGATGTTGTTCAGCATGCTGAGTGCAGATGATCTCCATACTAGTTTCAGGTTAATGAACACCTGTCTTGCTGTCTTTCCGATCCTGGCTGGCTTTGACGTCTTCGTCTCTGCCACCTGCAGTTGAAACACTGCTGCCTTGCCTCGATAGGTGAAGCAGGTTACTTCCTTCAAGTTTCTCCCCTTGATGGTGATTGGTACCTCTTGTTGTTGTTTTTGTTGGTTGGGTATCTTCATCACCTCTGTCTTCTCTACACTCACTTCACTTGAAGTCCCATCTTCGCTGCCTCACCTCTTCTGTCAACTTGTTAGTTTCCCCCTCTAGATCTTCAAGTTTGTGTGACATCAGACACAAGTCATCGTTGGCGAAATGTAAATCTCCTAGGTTGTTTTTCGCAGTCCAGTGTATCCCCTCTTCTCGCTCCCCACTGTTTGCTGCATGATCCAGTCGAACACTATCAGGAATATCATGGGTGGTAGTAGGCAACCTTGTTTCACTCCTGTCTTCACTTCAAAAGCATCACTGAGCTTCCCATTATGAATTACTTGGCTGGTATGTGGCGTCTTCATATAGTTGTTGAATGAGGCTGATAAAGGTTTGTGGTATTTCGTAGTGTTGAAGCAGTTTCCAAATTACCTGTCGGTCGACGCTGTCGAAGGTCTTCTCAAAGTCGATGAGGTTGAGGTATAGAGTTGACTACCATTCTGTGCTCTGTTCTATGATGATGCTCAGTGTAGTGTTGCAATTTGGTCGTCACATGATTTGTACTTCCTGAAGTCTTCCTGTTCTTGTCGTAGTTTTGAATCTAGCGCATCCTTTAGTCTGTGCAGGATGATGCGACTTAATATTCAGCTTGGGTGAATAGGAGCGTGATTCTTCGCCAGTTCTTGCAAACACTGAGGTCTCCCATCTTCGGGAGTTTGACAAGGTAACCCTTCTTCCCATCACTAACCAGGTACCTTCTCTTCCTTCCACACCTTCTGCAATAGTGGTGTGTTGTGAGCATGTCCGCTGTTGTCTCTGTGTCTGTTTTCAGTGCTTCTGTCGGGATCCCATCTGGTCCTACTGCTTTCCCACATTTCAGAACTTTATGGCACTCAGGACTTCCACTTCTGTTGGAGGATTTGTGTTCACTTGTAGTTCTGTGGCTGGGCTGTAGGTGGTATTTCTGGACGAAGTGCAGGTGGTGGTCGATTCAAGAGCTTCTTGAAGTGGTCAGCCCATTGTTTCCTTTGTTTCTCTTCTTTCGTAATTAAATTTCCGTCATCACTTTTTATTGGTTTCATCTGCGTTGATCTCTTCCCAGATAGCAAACTGGTTATTTGATACAATGTTGTCAGGTCTCGATTTCTCCTACCTGCAGCCTGTTCTGCTTCACTTGCCAGTGTTTCGTAGAAGTGTCGTTTGTCTTTGCGCGCACTCTTCTTCACTTCTTCATCCAGTGTAGTGTTCTATACTCTGTACTCAGTTCCTCTCCTGGTTGAGCATCCTTGCACTGGTTTATCTTCTGCTTCACCATCCTTCTCTCCCTGCTCTATCAGCTGCCATGATACCGTCGAGATCCATTCCTTGTCTTCCACCTTCTTCCTTCCTAATACGGCTGTGCAGGTTTCTTTCCACATAGCTTTCAAAGACTCCCAGTGTTCTTCCACACAGGTTCCTTCAGGGATGTTCCTTGATATCTCCCATTTTGTCTTGATGGCTGGCTGCCGTGAAGATTTCCTTTGCAGTTTCATCCTTCAGTTTCTTTTAAGGGGGTTTTACTTGAACTGTGGTCTATCAACAACTTTCTTGAAGGCTTTTAACTTGATTTGGAAGGTGGGTTCCTTGCACTGGATAGTGGTGTGAGCCTACATCTGCTCCTCTTCTTGACCTTGTGTCAAGTAGACTGCGTCTCCATTTTCTTTACATTGAGATAAAGTCGATCTGATTTTAGTGTGTCCTGGTGTCTGATGAAATCCACTCCATGTCGCTTTGTGGATATCCTTGTGCTTGAACACACTTCCCCACTCCAATCACCAAATCGTTGAATGCACGGAGTTCTGCAAACAGTTCTCCATTCTCGTTCATCACCTCACCGAGCGCTTCTCGACCCATGGTTAGTTCTTTTCCTGTGTTGTCTGCTCCCACTTTGGCATTCATGTTGCCCATTAGAATTTTGATATCGCCAACTGAGGTTTTGTCCGGTGTTGACTGTAGTTGTCTGTAGAATTCCTCCTTTTTCTCTTGCTCTGCATTATTTGTAGGTGCATAGCATTGTATGACTGTGACCTTCCTTGCCTTTGAGCTGAACCTTGTTGTCATGATCCTGGAGGAGATTGGTTCCCACTGCATGAGTTCCTTCAATGCTGTTGGGGACATCATGATAGCCACTCCATAACTCAGTGTGCTTGTGGTTGTCGTCTGGGTGACGATGTCGGAGTAGATTATTGATTCTCCAGTTGACAGTTTTATGAGTCCATTTCCATTCCATCTGCTTTCGCAAATTCCAAGCACTTCAGTGTGATCCTTCTTCTCGTTTGCAATGTGGCCTGCCTTGCTGCGTTCAAGCATCGTGCGGACATTCCATGTCCCCACGTTTACTTTCGCTTCCATTCAGGGAAGCGAAGACATATCGGCCAATTGGCTTCCCGAAAGCTTTCGCCAACTGGCGTCATTTCGCCTCTCCGATTCCAGCGAGGAATAATTTTGCTATTATTTTTTATATTTTGTTTGTGCTTTGAAGTTTGTTTAGCGGTTAGATTTGTTTTACGGTGTAGGGTTGCTAGCCCTATACCCAACCTTCCCTCTCTACCCGGGCTTAGGACCGGCTAGTAACTAGTGAACTGAATATTACAAGTTTGTAGCCACTCTAGTCTGTGAGACCAATATTTTTATTTTTCTTCCAAGTCGGTTATCCTTCAATTTCTCGCACTCTTTCTTTTACGTTTCTATCTTACTTCTCAATGTTACTAATTTTCCACTTCACAAGCTGTCAACTCTTACTACTTTCTCAAACGAAATTGTATCAGTATGCCTTCATACATTATCTTATAGGCAGCGTACACTATAATACTATATATATCCATCTATCTATGTGGACGCTTCATTTTGAAGATAGTTGAATAATGGTTAAAAGCAATCCCATCTTTATACATTATGATTGACAGAAATTACCGTTTGCAGATATACATAAAAGTATATCGTTTCTAGATGCCAACCTGTAGTCAGGTAGACATACAAAATCAACATAAAACCTAAGACACAAGTAGATCGGTTCAACTTGTCACACTTCACATCAGTATATAAGGAACAGGTAGATAGAAAGAGTGATATCAAAGTAGACAAAGTTGTGTAACAGAATAAACAACTTGAAGATAGACGTTAGCTCAAGCAGTCAAGCTTTAGAAGACATCAATGAGTGAATATGTCTGTTACATCGTGACTGACTTTCAGCCATGTTACCAAGAGTCCTCAACCACCGATTCCTATCGCCTCGGGGACCCCAGTTAGATAGTCTACATCACCTCATACAACTTGGATCAACAAACAGGTACTTCATCGATAGGTGTCACATCTTGGTCTGGTCATCCTAAAAACCCTTAGTATCACGGAAAAAATCCACATGAGTGAAGATATATCAACGTGCGAAGTTAGGATGTAGATATAGTAGTGTAGTAGGCGTTGCTGTTCGGAATGGATATAAGTAGTATATGCTGAGAGGGCGGCAGAAATCATAAGGAATTACCAGAAATGAGTAAAGATTCTGCCCAGAAAAACGCAAGGAACAACGTGGGCGTGTTAAGAGCAAATCAAGATAGAAGCAGAAGAGGTAATGAAGCATATCATGCAAATGACTGTCTTAGTCCAAGATGTATCATATTTGATGACTAATGTACAAGTTGTCAATAATTAACATTCCTTCCTTCATCTCCGTCTTCGCATTTCCTACAACAAGACAGGTAGGTAACGAATAATAATGTATTCGGGAACATAGAAAGATTAGTACATCTGCCTAACAAAAATTAATCCTAAATGAGAACTTTGACTCATAATGAATGCAAATTAAACAACCAGAACATCTTATCTCTTAGATTAGCAGTTAATGACTTAATGAATAGCTTTTCATTGAATTAAGAACTTTGTCACACTTTGAAATAAACTGTGCTTCGGTGTGCCCAGTATGTATCCTCCCTCCTTCAATTATGGCTAGTTAACTGAATGATGAAACGATCAACCTTTCTTATTTAATAGTTTGTACCTAGCTTGGATATATCTGTCGTTACGAAGATAAGTTTACCCAAGTAAATTTCTTTTCGTCATCCAAAAACCAAGTCGGATGTCAGCATAAGTACTCAACGATGGTGTTAGATGGTCACTCTATATACGAACTGATAGAGGTAGGAAAACGCTGCCTATCGGATTCTAACCCAATGGCTAAAATGGTATGTGATCACCGCAGAACCTGAAAATCTTTGGTTTGATCCCTGGTAAGGTGAGGTGGTGGGTGTGCACTGCTGAGGAGTTCCACTCTTGAACAAAATAGTTGTCTAGTGCTTCCAGCTTTTCAATGGTTCTTCAAATGATATCAGTGTGTGCGGAATAATAGTTTGAAATGAATAAAATTCACACGAACCTTCTAAGTGTATTGTTGTTTACTTGGTTAGGCTTGGGTCTGCATAATTGAAGAGTGTTGCAACATTGCAAGAAATTATGACTTTATACACTTTTGCTCAAGCATCTTAAATCTCGATATTGCCTGTATCTTCACTTTCGATATTAATAATAGTTACTGGCACAAGGAGTGGCAATTGTGACTCAATGACCCAGTGGATAACAGCCTGGTGTTTGAAGTCGTTGGTCTGGGGTTCGAGTCTTAAGTGAGAACAAAATCATTCACTGGGAAGAAGGTACTTCCAGTTGGAGAACCCTAACTAGGAGGAAACGTACGTCGTGAATCCCATTGCTAGTCACTATCAAACAACAATATTACTGGTGATAATTCTTTTCTTTCCTTCTGATAAATATCTAGTCAAACTTTCTATAAACATTCCCGATTAAGAAGTAGACAATTCCAGAAATTCATTTTGTTTACATACTTTTAGTGACTATAGCAGTAAAGTAAAATAATAATTTCCTATTTTAGATTTCGCTAATCAATTCTAGCTATTTGTTATCCTTTCACAATCTCAGTCAACTTTCAACTTATTGAAATATCACGTTTATCAGTTCTTTTTATTTCCAGTTTATGATGTGTTGGTTTTTCGTTTGGATTTTCTTCTACTGTCTTAGTATTTCTCCCTCCATCCATTATCATTGTTGTAGGACTTATTTAAACTGGTGACATGTTTATTTTTGTCTGATCTTAAACTTGATACTTTCTTCATCTTTTAATGCTCACATTCAAAGCTGTTTAACTTGCATTCCATCTCAGTATTTATAGTTCAATGTATTTCTTTTGCCTCGAAAGTTATTCTTCTTCTTTTAAGGTTGGCAAAGATTCTAAATTATTTGAGTTCCTATCATGGAAGTTTTGTTTTAACCATAGTAACTCCACTTCAATATCGATAGTGTTTGTTTTAATATGAACATCAGTTCAACTTATGCTTCTTGAGTGTATTTTTGTCATGCGGTTTAGCTAGTAGTTAGTTCCAACTATCCAAACAATTGATACTGGACTTCGGTCGTATCGGGAACACTTACACTTTATATCATACCGATAGTAGACAAAAGTATATCTCATACTGCAAGGCTTGCCATTATCAAGACAACTTATTTATCTTTTATTGTCAAAGAAGAACTTGGGTACCGTGATACTCCACAACTAAAAAAACAATGTGAAAGATGTAGAGTTACTTTTGACATGGATATGAACTATAAAATCTATTCGAAACGTCATCCAATGTAAAATATCCAACAAATAAACTAACATGGAACTGTTCACCTCTTCAATGAACGCAAAGTTCTTGCAATCGACTTCAATGATTAATCGGTGCTGTTGAAACAACTTTAGATGTGGCTTGACGTATGCTATAAACAATTTTATTTCAGAATTCTATCTTTGGTATATGCAACTGTCTCAGTTTATTTCATAGAGTGTTTTCTTAGTATTTGGATGCTTCATTCTTCATTTTATACTTGATGACAATTTTGATATGCGTTTCATCTTATTTGGGCTTCATCAAGCAGACGTAACTGTCTCCTAGTGAGTAATTTTGTTTCCACTAAGATCCAACCTTCGTACCAGTCATTTCAACCGCTAGGTAGTTATCCATTAGGCTGCTGAGTCATGAATTACGATTAACTAATACGTACATAAGGTTACAATTCTTATTTCATACTAATAGTCTTTTATTTTCTGCATAACAATACAGGAGAAATCAAAACTGCTAGAACTGCAAAATGTTTATAGTCATCGTATTCCAAGGAGTGCTATTCATCCTTCCCATTTACCGACGACGTATACAACCGGTGATGAAGAGGATAATGATGGTCACATGATGAAATATGTCAACGATAAGTCATTACCTTCAAATAAGTACCCTAATGTTGCTGCTACTGCTAGTGGTGGTAGTGGACGTGGATGTATCCTACCAAAATTAAGTATAAACTCTTTTAAAGATAATAACGACTTTACTCGTAAAGGAAGGAAGGAAGATACCAGAAATCAAGAAACTGTAGACATTTCATTATCTTCTCAAACTGTTGAAGAAATAAAAACACCGAAATTGAAATCAAAATCCACTCAGTTAGAATTACATCAAATGGTGAATGAAACACGACAAAATTTGTCTGATAGTTTTGGAATGCATAGTAAAAATAAAAAGTTGAATTGTGAACTTGCTACTCCTTCTCATTCAATGGATGAACATATTTCAGATGAGAATAAAGAAAATTCGTGTAATGAGCTTTCTGTGAGTTAGTGTGGTCAGTTTATATATATATATATATATATATATATATATATATATATATATATATTCTTAACTGATTTTCTGGTTGTGACTAAATGAAGTAATTATGCATATCTATAATACTTTGAAGTAAATTTTCACCTGGGTTCGATAACAGTTGATGGAAATAAAACATAATAGAATACAGAACTCCAATCTACGAATCTACTGTAATGACGCAATTACCAAGATTATGTAGTTCCGAGTTTAGTATTACCTTGGATTTTGTGAATAGAATAATCTGGCACTAGGATAAAGCCATCACTTTTTGCTTTCAGTTTTTAAATTATCCTCTAACTGATGTTTATCCATCGGGAAAAAACTGCCCTAAGGTCAATCTGTTCTCCAAAAGCCTTTAGATGGAATCTTTTGTTCTGTTCTTCCTAGTTAACAAGATCTCAATACAGATAAGGAATGAAATACAACGGATTCCAACTGAAATCATATCTTTCAAGGTAATATTCATTACGGACTGACTTCAGTTGAAGAACTGGTGAAAACCTTGGGGCATTGAACAACTGCTTTGTCATTGTGTGAGACTCAGCAGTAGGCACCTACGGCTCTCCCAGGAATCGAACCCAGAACCTCCAGTTTCCATGACGAGTGACTTAGCCATTCAGCTGCCAGATTAAGGTTAAGTAGTTCATATTTTAATGCATTTTTTGGTTTGCTATATACCGTGACTATCATTCAGGATCTTCACTCGACATCCGCTTCACTTACGACTTGATTGACACCATAGTCCACAGTTTCTTATCCTCCACACAAACCTCAAACTAAATTCATCTCGTTTACTTAAATTCTCTTATTTTTCACTTCTTGGTTGTTAGGAAGTTCAATTCCCAGTTACTAGATTCCTTAAGAAGTTAAAAACCCCTTGATGTGTTCACAAGTTATCAGTTCCTCGAATATTCCAGTGAAAGTTCTTAAATATACATGTAAATCCTTGATTAGACCGTAGCGAAAATCAGGCATAGATGTTTTCTGGAAAATTAAGGAAAAGGAAGGTTCATATCACATAAAAAAATTTGAGCAGTAGCCTCTAGTTAGCTTAGTAGTGTAGTTTTTATTCCATCGACAGGATAGGATCTTATTTGAGATGAAAATATGAACAGAGGAAACACAAAAAATATCGGAGAATTCTTTGGAGCTTAACATTCATGTCAGTCAGCAATCAGTAGATGTATAGACATGGACCCTATCTAACAACCAATGAGAAAAATGATAAACAACAGAAACATCAGAGGTTAAGCAGAAGAAAAGTCAACAAGAAAACCTATGCAGTGAATGACACAACAATAAAAGGAAGCAACCAATCAAAAGACACTTCGTCAAGGAAAGCTACTGAATCACTCACGGAGAGATATTGACAGCTCAATTCATATTGAAGTTAGTGCTGATGATGTTGGCTAAAATGACGATGAGAGCTGCATGATTAAACAACGCAGCTCAGAGAATACAATACACCTGGGATTACTTTAACTTTATTTTAACCCACACAGGTTCCTCACTCCGCTGTGTCATTGTCCCGTGTTTGTTGAACTCACTGAAGCATGTTAGTATTTGATCATAATTTATTAATGGGAATATTCTAGGTTATGAGCAGCTGATGAGGACCACCGAAATACCATAATGGATTCATATTATTCTGCTCCGATTTTTATTCTTGATTTTTAAAATGAAGTATATTCTGTCAAAATTCCAGTAATCGAAAATTTCACAGATGTCTGTAATACCGATGATAAACTCATGTTATCCCAAGTCAGCTTTTAAGCTAGTGCAGATATTGAATTTCATCTAGACGAAGCTGAAGAATTACACCCCAAAAAGTCTGTTTCTATCTTCTGAAGAAGCGTATCAACAACATATATCAGTTTGGCTTCCTGGCCTCTTCCGACGTAGGGAAAGCGATAAGCATAAACCACCGATAGCAAGATATACTGATGTCGATAATAGCGGAATTGTAATGGCTACCCGTGTGTGCAAAGTATGTTTAACTCGTTCAACAACTACTTGTACAGTCAAAGTAGTGCAGTGTACACAGACTGACTACTTGAACCAATTTTAATTAACAGTTTACGAGTTTATCTGCAGCAAATACTCTTGATAAACATTTTCCATATCCAGATAGGGTTAAAACCTCGTTTTCAACAAATAATTCTGGTTTTAGTCGTTTGGTTGTTGTAACCTCAGTAAACTTGAGAGGGCTTGAACTCCTTGTCCTGTTTTAGTAAGATGCCAATTGACTGCACTACTGAAAGGACTTGTTACCCTGAGACGTAGGCTATTTGGTATATGTTCAGAGACCCGAAGGTATATCTTCCCGATTTAACAGCTACCGCGTTAACTGCAAAAGGATATGTTCTGATACTTAAGTGGTTTCAGGCTGTAAGCAGCTGATGAGAAACCTGCGAACTAGAAGTGTACTATGTTATTCTCCCCCAGTCATTGTTCTTTCTCTATTCAAACATGTTTGAGTTGAATATTCAAACAATGAAAATAATACTTTTGGCGGACTTGTCAATGAAGGAAGACATCATCCATCGAAATTGTTTCACTTATCTAACTAGATCCAAACAAACACGAAATTCACCATAAGATATATGGATGGTGAAAGATTTAACTTAGCAAATCTAAAGATGATTGGGGGAAATAATAACGCTCAGTTCACAAAAAGCCGTCTACTAATAAGTTGCATGAACAGATAGAGTAATTTCCAACTAATTAACACTGATGTTAAAGATGTGGACCAACACTTAATTCTTATTACTATCTATTGATATACTTACAATTCTCCTTTGTTATAACTGATCGACCTATGCTGATATTAAGACTTTTATACGGATGCTTGGGAGTTGCCTCAGTGTTTATTTTCATAATTTACTTGGTTGTGGTTAGTGAAGGAATCCAGGACCCGCGTTATGCCATGTCTAGGACTCATCAGCTACATGTTCCTGCATCCCAGTGAGTGATCTTGTTTCCGCTGAGACTCGAACCTAGTACCTATCTCTTCAAACTCCAAAGAGGCATCCACTGGGTTATAGAGGCACGATACCCACCTCTTGTATGATGGGTATTAGTTATTGTAGTTTGTTGATATACTTTTAATTCCAAGTGAATTATAAAGATAAATATCCAGGCAATATCAAGGCATCCACGTAGGAGTCCATATACCAACAGAGGCTGATCAATTCTGTCCAGTATAACGACGGAGAAGTACAAGCATATCAACGAGTAGTAATAACTAATACCCGTTTCACAAGAGACAGCTCACATATCTCAGTCACCTATGTGGATAACGCTTTGGTGTTTGAAGTGATGGTTACGATGTTCGGGTCTCAGTAGGAACAACATCATTCACTGGGATGCAGGTAAACCCAGCTGACCAGTCCCAGATAGGACGGAATAGACTTCCTGGATTCCTCTGCTAGCCACAACGAAGTAAGTTACTGTGTGAGTGTGTGTATTATTCAACATGAAGACATTTGTTTTTGTACACCCATGCAATAGTATTTTCGCAACGTAAATTGGTTCAGTTCATGAACTTACTTATTTTAGAGGAAATTAGAACTTTATGTTCCCTATTTGTCTTAGTGTACAAATTGATATTTGCCATTGATGTACGAAGTAATTAACACATCGCTGTACAGAATCACAGATTGCTGTTTGGAAGAAGTTATGATTAAGAAGACATCTTGGGGAGAAAGAATAGTCTAGTAGTCTGACACACTATACAGCAGAAAACAGTAAGAAAGTCCTAGATAACAAAAAAAAAGAATAAACCACATTTTTATTAATCTGCTATTCACTGAGAAATCAGTTATATAAATAGTAGAAGAAGAATAAGATTTGAGCTATACTGAACTACTCTGTCCAAAATAAGCCAATGCAGAAACTCATACAGAAGTGTGCAAACTCAATTACCCCAACACTTATAACAGTACATAAATAGACTGATATTAAGGTAAACGAAGGTCATATGAGTAGAGACAGAGAGTATGTATAGTTGAAAATCAATAAAATTCTCACCTATGCTGATATACATTCTCATTGACCTCATGCTAAATAGATAAAAGACTTGTTCATTTCATAAAAATAACTAGGGAAAGAACATTTTTTTACGCTTCAATGATTTTAAAACGTTTACTTCCCTAGATAATTTTACAGGAAATAAGTAGACAAAAAAAGATTTCAGCATAGACATGAAAAAATATACACCCATTATAGATTAGTCTGAACTGAAATACCTTGACAGATATATCTCTCCAGTTCGGATCTCTTGTCAGCTGTTTTTCTTTTTTTGGCTTTCTGAAGATAGATATGTACTGATTCCCTCTTCACTTGATAGCATTATATTCTTTTGGGATCGATTAACCATTAATCTTAACTTACCACCCAATATTACTGAAATTACTTCATGCACTTCACTCTTTGTAGTCATGGAGATAGCATCAGAATTGTCATTGTTTGTTTTGCTACAACTGAATTATTATTTTAATTTACTTGGTTATAACTAGCAGAGGAATCCAGGATGCGTGCTTCGTCCTGACTATCGTGTCCTGAATAGGACAAAACTTGAGTTCTAGATTCTTCTGCTGACCACAACCAAGTAAATAACAATGGTTAACACTCAGGCAACATCTAGGCATCTGCTTAGGAGCCCATATGTCAGTAGACGTCGAACAATTTGATCCATTAAAAGACAACGGAGAATTACAAGTATATCAATAAATAGTAATGAATATTGTTTGCTATGCAATCGTCCTTTTAAATTTTTTGCCAGGATCTTTGATAACTCTAGTGTAATATTTTAGTACTAGTTGAAAATGTTTATCAGATTGGAGTGAAGCTAACTCTGTTCCCTTAGCTCTAATTAACAAACTGAATACATATTAAAGTTTCTGAGAGTTAGTATCATTGGCTTACGTTAGGAACAGCAATGAAAAGAAGACATCAAGACC